ATTTATCTATAAGTGTCAATATTCACAATTATTGGGTATTGTATCTATAGTTTCACAAAAGGTTTGGATGTCGAGGATACTTTTTCATGCGATCGATATTTGTTTACAACAACTATATATGTCTCATTTTAATGTTATATTCAAACAAACTCTTTATATTTAGGAATAAATACTGATTGATTATGTGATTTGTTTATTGCGTGTTATGATTACTGTACAATAGTGAAAAGTGCTTGTTCATACTTGAAATAAAATCTGTTACAATCGCTTGTCAAAATTCAATTTGTGTTTTTCAAAGTGCTGCGATGTTAAACACGTTTCCTAGCACATTTCTGGTGGAAACACTGTACAATAGTGCAAATTGCTTCATCAGGAAACACATCGTTTTATACTGTATATTTTGTTTTCAAAAATGATAATGTTAATGTTTTTTTACTATTTTATTAGTGTAAGGACATTTAAAATGTCAATATTCAGTTAGTGTTTTACCTTTCAGAGTATTGCGATGATAAACACCTTTCAATACATATTTATGGTGGAATCAATTTTCAAAGAGTGGTGATAGTAAACATTTGTTATAAACGGTACGCGAGGGTATTTGGTAGCGGATATAAGACCTTTCAGAAGAAAATTATCATATTTGGCGAAAAATAATCACCGAGCGTACCGTTTATAATCTTATTATATTATGACAACGTTGAATACTTAATGGGAATACGGCATCTTTTCGAAACGAAGTGTGGGGAGGGATGAATAACCACGTTCTTGGGCCTCGTCATACACTCTTTCAATAGACATCACTTCAAGACACGTTCCCACAGGCATGTAATTCCAACAGAAAACGATAAAACAGATTATTATAAAATTGCAAATGTTCAAGTTTATTACTTAAAATACATCGTCAATAAATCGAAAAGGTTTATACAATTATAAAACAGGAAAAAATACACATGAATCGACATTATACATATCGCGGATTAATACATTAACATTTGTTAAGAGTGGTTACATTTGAACATGGCGGTTTTAAATTTTTCAAGTTGTCGTTTTCGAGGATTTTAGTTTGGTTTTGGGGAAATATAATTTCTAGTATACACATATACAGAGCCTCCGAAATTGCAGTTTTTGAACAGGTTTTCTGTGGCGACTGAGCTTGAGCATACCGTTTCACTTGTGGAGATATTTCTCTGACACTGTACTTGAGCCATGCCCGATGTTGACGGTCGAACGACGCTGGAACTGGGGTCATCGGAAGGTCATTGTTACCACTAACGTTTGACATTAAAATGTCACTACACTGACGTTTTTGTTCACTAGAACTGTCGCGACAGTAACCCCTGATACTCCCTTCATTCTGATGGCCACTTAAATTCATGATTATCCGTGTTGGTATTCCAGCGTTGTTGAATGATTTTATAGTGGTTGCTCTCACACAGTGGTTAGTGTACAGCATGCTCAACTCTGCGGCCGCTGATATTTTTTTCATCATTTCCCCCAAAGTATTGTGACCCAAAGGAGCGTTTGTATACCAAGTTGTTTCCCTACCTGTAAAGTTACTAATAGGCCGCTGGAAAAAGGCATTATTGCTTGGGGGAAGCTTACTTGTATAATTTAGAATGGCCGTAAAAGGACAAAGTGGGAAGTTTGTTTTGGACATCCGTTTAAAATCACCTTTTAAAATCCCCGGGGTGTTTTTTGGTTGCTTCCAAATAGACCAAAATAAAAACTCTACATAAAACCACACCAAACGTAAAAGGGACACCGGGTCACGGTCGGACAGTGTCTGCTGGTAAACATCTTACTTATGTCTCCCGCACTGATAACCATTTTGTGTTGGATTTTATCTTTCCCCTCCCGCTTTAAACGTTTTACTTTCCCTATAAATACATAATTTGGAGTTTTGAATTCCCGATCTTTGATAATGTTAATGGGGCGATTGAATGGAACATTGGTTATGTGGCGATGGATTGCTGCTCAAATTCCAGCGTAGCGTCTTACGCTGTATTCTTTCTTGTCCCTAGCCCTGACCTCGACATAAAAATGCTTCAATATTTTTGCCAGCTCTTGCACTTCCACCATTTCGAAGGCTGAGTCGATTTTCCGTTTAGAACACCACACTATACAAAACAAAACATAATTTTAGTACGGAAATTGGGTCATCATGAGGTTAAACGTTCAACGCATTGTTTACATACAACGATAATGGCGGCGTTCGCCAGTACAAACTATAGTTACGATATGTTATTTTTTTAATTTTGACTTTTATCACTCTTACATTTAAGTAATTTCACACGCCATTTTGTGCCAAACGAAGTTCTTCATCAATAGCGTAAATTTCATCCAGCTGGTTCCATTTGAAATGGAGATCAAAATTGATCTGAGGCTTGTCGTCTGACATAATTACTATGTTCTGAAATTGCCGCTAATGACTTGCAGACGACAATATTTATCATATTTTAATCCACTTTTTGTTTTATTAATTATTCACCAAACAGGGCCCGAGTCATATATTGCCAGATATAAATCCTGACTTCAGCTAAACAGATGGCTAGATTCACACTGATCATATTATAATTAGGAATATAATAAATAATTAATTGATTGATTATGTGATTTGTTTATTGCCTGTTATGATGTCAACGAATTTGCGTACCTGGGTGCAACCTTAACAAAATCAGGAGGAGGA